AGTCTACATTACTAACAATCCCCTTCCCCCCTCACCTGCGAAGTTAGCTCTCGCCTATTTTGACCGCTAAGCAGCTTGCTTTATACCTAAGCTATATTTTGGTTATAGCGTGAGATAAGAGGTATGACATTTGAAGAGAGAGAATATGTCATTTTACTGACACCGTATGGGTGAGGTTACGCGCATCACATGACAATGTGATGTCCATGATGCTGTTCATCACGGTTATCACTGACCATCATATAGTCTCTCAAATTCTTTCCAATCCAATTAATTTGAAATACAAGATAGCTTATATGTTTTTTTACAGACGAGCTTGGTCTTCACCTGATCGTAAGTAATTACCACAGCCGGGTGCTCATGGGCTGTGCAATACCAGGTGAATTGTAAGTCCGTTGCTGTCCTTTTATGAAGCAAAAATATATTTTCTTGAAGGTTCCAATATTGTACCGGTTCGGAAATACCATTGTTGGAAAGCGATTCCACAGTGTGGTTGGGTGTCGCAGAAAGTTTCTGGATAAACTGGACTGTGGCACACCGCCATACATCCAGATAATCAGGATGGTATTTTAGATTCCGGCGAGTGCGATGATGAATTCAGAAGCTAGCATTATCCGAATATATCTGAACAAAATTAAATTATAACTATAACTACAAAAAAAATATTTTAAAAGTAAAATAAAATTAAAATTATAACTATAACCAAATTACCAAAAAATATAAGATTATTAGATAATATAACCAAAAAAAATATTCAAAAAGATTTTATTAAACGTTTTTGTAAGCAAATATGAAGGCATATTGTGTGCCATAAGATAAATTACCTGGTTCTAGAGTATTGTGTTTATGTGAATATATTATGTGTGTGTATGTACATTATAAATTAGTATTAAGTTAATAGCTTTTTCTGTAGACAAACTACTAAGCAGTTTTGAGGCTTGATGATTATTTTGTTTTTGTATAAATTTATGTGTAATTAAATAAAAAAAATGGCTCCGACCACTTTCCGTGATATATGCGGTAGAAAATACACAAATGGGTCGAGTCTGTCACAAAGACGTTGATTACCAATGATTCTGTCTGCTCGATTCTCAATGCGGTCAAATGGAAGTAACTGATATTGTTGTGCTCTTGTGAGAACAGTATTCCATATGCGGTCGAAACTGTACCTTGTATAAAGTCGTGATTTGGTATAAAGTATTTGACGTGAGGATATCACGTCGAATATAGATAAGATCTATACAACGGTAGAGACATTCCTTCCCATTTAAAATTGTAGTATCGATACAAATATAGGTGATGAACAAAGACAGAGAGACTACGATGTAAAATATATATTTGTTAGACGTTATTGAATATTATATTTAAACGCTCATGAACATTTTATGTGTTGGCATGCTGAAGTATGTATGTAACAGTTGACGTATTGTACAGATATAGATCATGACAGACTAGGTCTAGTTCAAGTTTTAGAGGCCTTGGTGAACAAAACAAACAATAGATTGAGGTTCAATATCCGTCGATTTATAACAACTGGAAGAAAGGGTTGAAGATAGTGCTCAGTGTGAGTACCTTAGGACAGACCTAAGTCCATCAGTGGGCTGCAGTAAGCTTATTATGGCCCGTTGATGAATAGATCAATTTATTTCTTTTTCTGTATGTGTGGATTACATTTTATCAGCAAAATAAAAATAATGAGGGCAATACTTATGTATGTGTGCTCTATTATTTTTGAAAGAGTGAAAATTTGTTTTATAAAACTCAAAACAGATATAAAATGGATAACCATTACCAATATTATTCACCGGTACAGAGATATGTGACAATTTTACCCATTGAAAACCACAGAATGTACAACGAAGCGCCGTGACGTGTTTTTTTAACCGACTTTGTAACAATGAAAAGTGTCAACAATTTGTATTGCCTTGTTTACAAATGCATAGAATTATATGTGCAATTCTTTAAATGTATAATTTCAATACCTCCTATCTGTCTAAAACCTATTATTGCTATAGAATTGTTTTTACCTATTTATTCTATACAGCTATATTCTTAATTAAAAAAAAGTGACAAAACAGTTTATAATTGGATTTAGTTTTTATAAATAAAGGAGAAAGGGTATCCATACTCATATTAGAAATGCTAAAGAATGTTTATCTGTCAGGACCTCGGAACGATATCCTTATTGGACAAGTCTCTTTATAACTACAGATTAAAAAGATTTTATGTAAATATCTGTAGGTAAATAATATGTGTAGGTAACCTTTCATTCTTAGAACGTCAACCAACTCAACGTCGCTCGTAACAAAACATACAAGCTTGTAGCGGCTTATTCACTTGAGACATCGTTTGACATACGTCAAACTTTTACCGCGAATAGCTGTCAGTGTTGCCATTAGTTTATATTTAACACATCATATATATAACACTAGATGGTTTTATTCGCAGTTTTCTCTGCTTGAACAAATTATAAATATTGACTAGCTGACCGCACAACTTCGTCTACATCATTCTCCTGTTTTTCCAATATTTTTCATTGGAGTTCCGCTCCTATTTGTCGTAGCGTTATGTCACATAATGTCGTTTTGTATTGATATATAATAAATCTCAAACAAAAATAAATTTGTATATTATTGATATATATATTAACAAAAATAAAAAAGTATATTGAGTACTCATATAAAAGTATATTGTGTACATATATTAACATATAACACTAATTACCATGCTATTATTTAGCAAGTTTTTCTTTGTAGAACTGGCACCTGCTTAGCGTTTAGTAGACAGGGAAAATATAAAGCTTGTTGTACTGCCAACAGAACTCTAGACATAATAAGTGTAATTAAAATAAGAGGCAGTGTTGCTAACATGAAAAATATAGCTACTTACTTAAATTAAGAAACTCGAGATATATTCATAATGTTGCGTTACACAATAATGCTATTTTCTTTACTATTAACGTAACGATGCTCCTACCTTCGCTAAGGGTATAAGCTGCCAGGAAACCAAGTGGTAAACATTTGTATAAGACTTAGCCCTTAGACTTATCATTTGCCATAGCAATAAAAATTCCCCATTAAATAATGAATATATATATTTACACTACAATATTTAATATATATATCTATGTCCACATCTAGATGCACTGGGTGCGCAGCAGTGCAATGTCCAGTGCCTCTGGAGTGGACAATCCAAAATTTTTGCTATTATCTTTAGGAGACTGTTTATGTTCCCCTAAATACTACGCATCAGTGATATTATATCGTTAATTTACGATAAATATACATATATTAATTTTGTAATATAATATAGACTTCTAAATTGAACTGGAAGGACTATTACGAGAAGAATTAATTTTGATATTAACCTTCACGTATGTAATTAGTTTAAACTCATTATATAATGTAATATTGGACTTTCTTCAAAGTACACCCAAACTAGTGCAAATAATCGTACACAAATGTTTGCGTTGTGCGTACAGTGTAATCGAACCCGCGACTATCAGTACTAAGGTGTGCTGAACCGCTAAAGCACTGAGACCATAATCAAGTAACAACTGTCCCTCTGGACTTATAAATATAAAACTTAATTTTCCATGGTAATAATCACTAATAGCCACAATTAATTGGCTAACAAATAAGCTAATTGTTGTCAAGTCGCCATTGCGTGTACTGTAACAAATTAATTAATACAAATAGTTTCCAATGTACAATCGTTGAAGACAACGGGTGGTCTTGTCCATTACAAGATTAACGAGTTGTGATCGACGGGGGAGATATTGCCGCTATATCTAGCGGTTTAGCACACCGCTTTACTCCCGATAGTCGTGGATTCGATTTCTTGCACGGCGTAAACATTTATATTCATGAGTATAATTGTTTGCATCGGTTTGGGTGTTATCTATTTATATGAAGTATGTATTTACAAAAAAAATTGTTTGCATCTGCCTCAGTGTTGTCTATGTACATTAGTATGAATAAAAAAAAAAAGTAATTATGCCAGTTGTCTAGTACTCATAACACAAACTCTACTTACCATGGGACTAGATGGCGCTGTGTTAATTGTCCAGATTTATTTATTTATTTACTTATCTATGTTATTTAATGTAAAAGGGATAACAAATGGGATGGGATAGCAAATGGAATGGGACGGGCTCTCAGTTCATTTGTTGTCACGATGGTAAGTGGTAACCGTTTTCCATATAGACATTTTTATTATAGCATAGAAGTGCGTTGCCTTTTAAGAAGATATAAGCTCTTTTCTTGAAGGCAATATCGTATCGTTCCGGTAATACCATTGCTGGAAGGTGATTCTGTAACGTGGTAAAACGTGGTCACGACCCGTAAGTAACAGCGAATGTCAAAACCCGTTTAACTATATTAATAATATGTACTAAACGTCAAAGTTTAAAAATAACTATAGACTACCTATGTTTATGGCAAAATAAGTTTGATTTAGTTTGATGTCACGTCATCCTGTAACGTCAGTAGCAGAGAGAGACTCACACTCGCGAGATTAAGATGTAATTAATTAATTTTATGCCTGTAATTTTTCTGCTATATCCCACCCTAATTCCGTAACATATCGTATACAGTAAACGGTCCAGTGAAATAAGTGAGATAAATGATGCAGATAACTTTTATGTAGCGTTAACCTCTGGTAGTGCATTGCATATTTATATAAATTATTATTAATATATATATATATATATATATATAATAATTACCCTAGACAATTCACACAGCGCCATCTAGTACTATGCTCAACAGCAACAACAACAGCTTGTGTTATGAGTAATAAACACTTAAATATTTTCTTTTTAAATCGATACATAATATACACAGAAACTACCTAGATTGATACAAAGAATCATACTCATGAATACAAATGTTTACACCGTGCATAAAAACGATTCTGCGATCATCAGAAGAAGATTAAATCACTACTTTACTTTACTATATTGAGCTGTTAACTATGTGAATAAAATATCTAATACTTACCCGTTAAGTTAATAACTGGTACACCATGATTTTAATTATCTGCAACAAAAAATAGAGTCAAATATATAATTTTATTCTACATTTCCTACCTATACTATATACCTACTATGATAATAACTAAAAAATAACTGACAAGTGTCACTCTGTCCAGCTGTATACTACACAATATTATATACATTATAACAGAATATGTTTTTTAAATTAATTTTCTTTACCTATTATGATAAATACAAGCCATATTCTTCACTTTATTTGAATAAAGATCAAATAATCTTGACAATATATTAATAGATTATGGGAATAAACCAGAAATCAATTTCTTAAAATGTTTACTTAATAAAACATCGCGGACTATACAAAAATACGTACACCCTAAGTACCTTTTCGTTTTATAAGTTCGTTGATAACAACGAACGTGAATAATAAGAAAACCGTTCACTTTGGAAAGAAGGAAATTTTCCTATACAATTAGACGCGCAATATCCGGACCACGGTCTCAACCCAAGCTTTTCACTGTCTCCTATCAATAATTCATATTTCCAGTGTCATTTCGTCGGTTATTTGCCGTTAAACCGCATAATATCTTATAGTAGGTACAAAAGAATTAAATTATTGAATAACAATAAAACCATTTAATTCTCATTTTTAAATGAAAAGTTAATTTGAAATGTTGTAGATTCAAGCCGAAAAGAATTGACAGGAAACTCAGCTCGCAATCTTTTAAACTCAGTTTATAGATGACTAGCTGTGCCCGCGGTATCACTTTTATGAAATATGTAACTGACAACATATTCTGATGTATAAGCTATATTACTGTAAAGTTTCGTCAAAATCCATTCAGTAGTAGTTTTCGTGTGAAAGAGTAACAAACGTGAAAAGTACATAGTTATATGCTCAGACATATTGCACACGCGTTACCCATTCATGTAAACAGATTATATCATTGTCACGCTTTTACTCGTCGTAGAATTTACGTAGGCGCTCTACGACCCGCGTAGCAGTTATAGTTTCGTTTATGCTACAGTGCTACGTAATTCTAATTATTGCCGACTTTGACATTGGTTCTAATTTCATTTTGTTGTTGTTTTAGTATAAGATTGTACTCTCCAGTAATGTACAAAAGAATAGATCTTCTTAAAACAACCTATTCTTGTTTCGGCATGTCCTGACTCCTCTCCATACAAAACGTGCTACTATGAAAATTTTCTGCAATAACTAAAACTAGGTGGAATTTTGTCCATAGCATTAGCATATCAACGTTTCACAGGAGTCTGATTTTCTCCAAACAATTTGCGTTAGAATTATCCGTACCGTACTCGATTTTCACCAATAAAAACGATACATTTTTATAGACAATAGTAAAAATTTTAAAATATGTGTAAGTCATTGGTATTGTATTGAATTTTCAGAAAAACAAAATAAAAAGACAAAACTTTATGTTCGTTGTAACAATAGAGTAAACCCGACTAGAGCGAAACGTAAATATTTACTGCAAAATTTCGATTGAATATTGCTATCACGCTTGGGTGAGGGAAGACGAAAAACTTCAAACAGAAATGGAACGAATACTGAAGCATATGTACACCGTAATTTTACAGAAAAGTTCAGAGTAAAGAAGGAAATAACTACTTTTTATGTCAGAACCAACCAAATTTTATAACGATTGGTTAAGCCGATATACACACACATATTGAAAAGCGTTTTATAGTAAAAAAGGTTTTTATATGTTTTTTCAAACAATAAAATTTCATACAATCTGCATTTATAATAAAAAGCTAGTTGACCAAAGTTTTATTGTCCTGAGATGAAATGCACAAACATTTTTGAGTGACAAAACGTGCACAAACAAACATATAACAGTCGATTATCATATATCAGTTACCTGAAAGAATCACATTTGATATATCCCCGATCTATCTATAATGACTTTTCCAAATAAATAAACATCGACGTATAATTTTCACATACAAACACGTAAAAAACCGTAAATTATGTAATACAATACACTTGTACTATATGAGTTGTACTCATCTACTCATATAAATGAGTATAAATATTATGTATTGTTAGACATCAGTGAAATATATGTTCAGTTTACGGGGAGTATGTCAATGTAATAAATACTACAGAATACAATGCTTATTAGTATTTTTGTCTGTTTGTCTATGCGTTTGTGCTCGTTATATTAGAAACACTAATGTAGTTGTGATGTAAGGACTGTATTAAACTGGTTTAAAATTAGAGACGTTCCGAGGTAATATTTATATTGAGCTAGCTAGCTAAAACGAAAAGACAAGGAATATAGGCATTAGAAAACAATCGGTAAATGGAACGTAAAATATACAATTAAAAAATATATAAAAAACTTATAAAAACTATCAAAATAGTTGCCTTCAGCAAGCCTTAGTGTTGTATCTAGTGCCATCAAGTCTAGACAAGATTACTACTCTAGTACTAGATCCCGTGGACGATCCAAACGATAGATCAACCGTTAAAGGAGTGGTAGGTGCTCCACTCCGCGAGTGTAACAATATGATAGCCAGTAGGGAGAAATAGCGAGCTGTCACACGGCGGATGCCATCTTCCTTTAACCACACAATGACCACAATCGTTCTGTCATGAGCGTATCAAATGAGAAGTGTTATAAGCTTCAACTTAAATTTACTGTTTGTTTTAGTTATTTTTAAACCTTCGAGTTTATTACATATTTATTATAAAACGGGTCTTAAAGGAAGGGAAATTCCATTATTTACCATAACATTATCCGTGTTAAAACTCGGTTAATAATATAATGTGTTTGTTTTGACCCAATCGATGCACATATAAAAAGGGTACGAAGTCGCAGGTTCAGCTTGTTTTCTATAAAGTTAATAATGTTAGACCCTAACTAAATATATTAATAATATGTACAAAACACACAACATTAAAGTATTAAAAGATAAATAAACTTTAGTATATTTTTTTATAAATATAAACAGAGAAGCGTCAAAGCTAATAAAAACAGGTTTGTTGTTTCAAATTTAGGATGTTTTGAAAGCGCTTGTGTTTACAGTTTACACAGGGCTTTCTTCTTCTCATAGTGTATTTTTTTATTCTCATTTATGAATGTAAGCCCATTTGACCTTATGTTTAATATATTTATTTATATAAATGTAGTAACGATAGGTATCATGAATTTCTTTCTTTTCACAACACTTTGTCATCACGATTTCTGATGGATTTAGTGATGCCGAATTTATTGTGACGAAGTCTCAATAAAATCTATTCACTTGTTTTGCGTGAAAGAGTAACAAACATCCATCCATGCATACAAATTTCCGCGTTTCCAATATTAGAATGATACCTATATATAACCAGACTAACTATTGGTTATATATTACAGAATTTTCCGTTATATGCCTGAAGAGACTTAAATGTCACGTATAGGTTATTTAAAGCCTGCATTTCACCCCAGAGGAATAATAGGAATAGGAATTTGTCAAGTTACATTCTTAACGTAGTGTTCCTAATAGAATATAAGGAGAAAATAATAATGTAACTTTTGTTACGTACTGATTAAAAACACAGTATAATTAAAATGCTTAACAAAATACGACCTTCTGACTAAAACAAACTCTTATAGACAACCTGGAAAATAATATATTGAAGAACTAAATGCAACCAGTAACTTTCCCTATGTAAAGATCTATGATGATTTTAATCTTACAATATATAGCATATAAGCATACAGCCCATATGATGGTAAAACACTCCGATAGCCTAAAATACCGCACCGCGCACTTGGTGTGCGCGGTGCGAAACCTAATGATATCTTAATTTGAAAGAATTCTAACTCTAGTGTCTACAGAAACTGTTATACATGTTATCTATCTAGTAACTGGAAACGAGCAGATTGCCCATAGGATGATAAGTGGTAAATGTCGCCTGTATACATGAACAGCACCATGAATATCACGATATGATATGATAACATGTCATGTCAGTTGCTAATCTCACCGTTCTACCGAAACACATAAGGAAAACTGCTTGGAAAGTCTAGTCAACTCTAGCCAATTATAAATATCAGTCTTAAACGCAAGTTTATTGTGAATACAGTGGGGACTAATATAAACAATTAATGTCACTAAACAAAAACAATTGGTTGTTAGAGAATGCTAATAGCATTAAACCTATTGTACAAAATTTGACTAAAGTTTAAATTAATAAAATCAGTTTTCAATTCCAAACAATCAAAATATAATATAAGTTTTAACGTGTGAAAAATATAAGCTTATAAGCTGCTACGGAAGGCATTATGTATCGATAACCACGAATACTGAAATCCCAGTTCGTGACGATACATAAAAATGAGGATTTAAGTTATGGGTTATTTGGATTTAACTTGACACAACGTTAAACAATAAACTACATTATATTGTTTATGACAAAACTGAGCAAATAATCACTAGGTTTATCTAAGAAACAAAAATGTTTGTATAATTTTTTTATATTGCAATGTAATACTGGCCACGTTATTTTATATTTTTTGAAATTAATTATAACCTATTACGATCCTTAAGTCAATTCAAAGTATCAATTTTAATCCAATCAACTATATAAAGGTTACACAGACAGGTAGACACACTTTTATGTTTACATATTAGCGCCGATTTTTTTTATTGTTTTTATGGAATTCAAATCATAATACATAACAAAATATAATACATAAATTCTTTACTTCTTAAAAACCAAATTGTATAAAAGAAATGTAAAATAAATAATAACTTAAAAAAAAAATCAAAACTTTAAATTAAATTAAAAACAAAAAGTCTATTTCAATCATAACAGAATTACAAATGACACAAGCATAGTAAAATTTGTATATTCAAAAGTTTGATACCGTCGAACTGAAAACTGGCTTTTATTATTCAAATTCTCTGAACAACATAAAATAAATCCGAATTACACTGATACAACAATTAGAACATTGGACAAGTTAAATTATTCGAACTCTTGTTACTTAAAAACAGAAAATTGTAATTGCTATACAATATAAAAGC